CGCCCGCCCCGCCCGCCCCGCCCGCCCCGCCCGCCCCGCCCTCGCCAGAGAATGCTCACGTGTAACTCACTCAGCTTTTGCGTGAGCAAATATACCCGGTTTCTTTTAGTCCGACCCGAGCAGGAAACCTAAGTTTAGCCTTCTTAGTCCCAAGAATGGACTCGCCCCTGAGACCCCCGCCGCTCCAGCATACCTGAATACCGCTCTCCAGGGATGGAGCGAGCCTGAGTGGAACCGGACTGAACAATGGGGAGATGGGAAGGGCAGTGTTTTACAGAATTAGACGGGATTGCGGAGAACTCTAGCAAGCGAGTAGGGATAGGAGAAAAGAAACGGACCAATGGGGACTGTGAGGGCTGTGTACGGAGCCTATGGGGAGCCTGCCTTGCAGGGGGCGGGCTCAGTGGATTGCGAATGAAGGTGCAGAGGCAGGAGACGCAGGTGAAATCCTAGGCAGGAGTGAAGCGTAGAGTGTGTGTAGGATGTGGATGCAGCCCTAAGTATGTAATGGCAAGGGCAGCTCAGCAGTTGGAAATCTCCAGCAATAGATGGGAATAGCAAAGTGGATCTGGGGTCATCACTGATAAGAAAATAGTAGTAACTGAAAAAGTGTGTCTTTATGGCATTTTACAGCTGCTGTATGACTTTGGGAGAAACAGTATTTCCTGTTGACTTGCAAACGTCTTTAGCTATGCCTGTCACGCAGCCTAATTAACTGCAGGGCTACGTTTTTCTTTCTCACTCTGAGCTGATTTTCACTCTTTCTATTCCAGAGAGGGTTTTTACTCTTTCACTCCCCCATTGGCTAAGGGCAGGTGAGGTCAACTATAGAACATTATTCTGGGAAATTCACATCTCCACCATTGTCTGGGTTCCATTAATCTAAAGATGGTTTGGAGAACATAGTCTGTAGTTGGACAAATGTCCATTCTTCACATTCCTTCAATAGCACCTTAGTGATGCATCATCAGAAAGGACAGTGGCTGCACAGTAGCCTTTAGCACTCTGGAAGTCCCACATTTGAACACTATAACATGAATACTAGGAGAATGATTATATTAATGTGTAGTACACTCCTAAATCAGGAGTCAGGTCTACCCAAGTTAAAAGAAAAGAACAGATCCCATTCCTAACCTGAAGACTTAACTATAAGACAGGACACCATAAAATTCCTAGAAGAGAACATAGGCAAAACATTTTCTGACAAAAATGGTAGCAATATTTTCTTAGATCAGTTTCTCAATGCAAAGGAAATAAAAGCGAAAATAAACAAATGGGACCTAATCAAACTTAAAAGCTTTTGCACATGAAAGGAAATCATAAACAAAACAAAACAAAAAACAACCTATGAACCGGGAGAAAATATTTGCGAACAATACTGTCACTTAAATTTTTTACACTATAGTGATTCACGTTTTTTAAAGGGTATACTCCATTTATAGTTATTATAAAATATCGGCTATATTCCCTGTGTTGCACAATATATCCTTGTAGCTCATTTTATACCTAATAGTTTGTACCTCTTAATCCCCTACCCCTGTATTTCCCTTCCTCAAATCTGTACTATTTATGTACTATTTTTATTTTGCACTTATCACTGGATGAAAGTGCCTGTGTCTCCACTCCCTCATTAACCTTTTTTTTTTGCCAAGGTCATAGGTAAAGGATAATAACTCAATGTGGTTTAAATATGTTTATTAGTTATCTGTAGCTGAGTAACAAATTATTCATAATTTAGCAGCTTAAAACAGCAAATAGTTATTATATCACAGATTCTGTGGGTCATAGATCTGGGAGTGGCATAGCTGGGTGCTTCTGACTCAAGATCTCTCAAGAGGCTGCAGTCAGGACATCACCTGGGGATACAGTCATATGAAGGATCCACTTTTAAGCTCATTCACATGGCTGCTGGACTGAGGGCTTCAGTTCTTTGTGGGCTGATGGACTAAGGACTCAGTCTGCCACACATGTGTCTCTCCATAGGGCTGCTTAAAACGTGGAATTTTTCTTTTGCTACCGTAAGTGATCCAAGATGGAGAGAGTGCCCAGCATGGAAGCCAGTCTTTTATAACTTAATCTTGGATGTGATATCCCATCACTTTTGCTGTATTCCCTTCATTAGAAGTGAATCAATAAGTCTAGCCTCATTCAGGGGGAGGGGATTACACAAGGCAGTGAGTATCAGAAGGTGGCTATCATTGGGGCCATTTAGAAGCTGACTACCAAAAATACACATTGATCTACCTAGTGTTGCTGAAGATGTGAAGCAATTGGAATGCCCATAAGCTCCTGGTGGGAGTGTGAAATGCTATAACCACTGTGGAAAACAGTTCAATAGTTTCTTATAAAGTTAAGTATATACTTACCACGTGATGAATGATTCTAAATTCTACACTTAGACGTTTCTGATCATGACCATTCAAATTTTATTTAGCTGTTTATTTCTAAAACATTTTAGATACAGAAAAAGTCGAAAAAATAGCACAGGGTTCTTATATCCCCTTTGCCCAGTTTCCTCTAACATACTCCATAACCATGATATAATTATCAAAACTAGAAACTAACATTAGAACAATATCATTACCTGACCTACAGACTTTATTCAGCTTTCACCAGTTCTTCCACTAATTTCTTTTTTCTGTTCCAGAATCCAATCCAAGGTACCACATGGCATGTAATTTTCATGTCTTTTTAGTCTCCTCCAATCTGTGGCAATCAGTCTTTCCTTGTCTTTCATAACCTTGACACTTGAAGAGTACTAATCAGCTATTTTACAGAATGTTCCTCAATTTAAGTTTGTCTTATGTTTTCTTATTCTTAGACTGAAGTTACTCATTTTTGACAAGAATACTACACAAGTGATATACCCTTCTCGGGGCTGCGTATCAGGGGGCACATAACGTCTTTGTTATTTTACTGGTGATGTTAACTCCTTTTTGTTTAGATTTCATGGCTTGTATATTTATTCAGCGCTGATGAAAACAGTGGAAGCACTGCACAAAACGAACTCCATTCTATTTCACTTCTTGATACATGGGCCATTCTAGCAACTCTGCCTTAGGCTTACTGATGAGGAAGGAAGGACTGAAAGGAAGAGAGCTCTAGTTTGCCTGATCTTTCTTTTCTTTTCCATCTTCCTTCTCAGTATAAATTGCTGGGTCTCATGGAGAAGTAACACAAGTGAAAAAGGACATACTAGAGTTCTTTGGTGTTTTCCATTTCTTGGAATGCTATTATTGCAAGCTTTCTTCATTTGAAGCAAGTTCTGGTTCAAATGGAAAGTGTGGCCTCTTGGGTATAGGGTTTCCAGAGTTAGCAAATAAAAATACAAGAGAAACAATTAAATCTGGATCTCACATAAACAACAAATCATTTTTTAATATAAGTATATCCCAAATATTGCTTAGGACATACTAGATCTTGGGGATGTCAGTGCCCCTGTTTCCTCATAGATGTAACATTACTTTTTAAAAAATTGTAGTAAAATATATGCAACATGAAATTTACCATATTAACCATTTTTAAGTGACCAGTTCAGTGGCATTAACTACATTCACACTGTTGTGCTACCATGGTGATGTTAACCTTGATTTCTTGGTTAACCCAGTGCTGTCTGCCAGGTTTCTCCACTTTTATAAATTTACTATTTTTCCCTTTGTAACTAATAAACATCTTGGGAAAGATATGCTGAGACTATGCAAATTCACTGTCTCTCATCAACTTTCACCCACTAATTTTAGCACCCATGGATGGATCTTGTCTGCAACAATTATTACGTTTCTACTCCCCTCATTCCTTTTGTCTTTATTAATTAGAATTATTCTGTAAATAGGATTTGTCCCTTTTCCCTATCTATTTATTCAATTATTTATTTATATCAGTTTGGACTCATATTTATTCTGTTCTACAGGTTATAATCTAATAGTATCGTTATTTATCTTTTGTCTCAAATTGTTCCACCTTTGGCAATTGCAAGCAGTCTCATGTTGGCTATGGTGCCCTTTTGGTATGCCCACATTTTGGGGGAAGACGCACGTCCTTACTTCTTGGGACTGACTACAGGATGCTCCAGCTCATCTTGTGTTTTCCCTGCCCCAGTCCAACTACTTCAAAGAACTCTGGTTCCTTTTATTAGAAAGTGATATTTAGAAACCTGGATCTGGTTGCTATGTATGCTCATTGGTACTTACTGGGTTATTATCCCTTCTGGGCCCTCTTAGCTAACTTGGAGGCTTGGAAATACAGTCAGCTCTACGTTTCCATGGGTTCCGCACCTGCAGATACAGAAGGCTGACTGTAAGGGACCTGAGCATCTGTGGATTTTGGTACCTGCAGGGGTCCTGGAACCAACCTCCCATGGTTACCCAGGGAGGACTCTATGTGAATGTGTATTAACCCATGCTACACACATTTTCCCTTTTCTTTTCTTTTCTTTTCTCTTTTCTTTTCTTTTTTCTGTCTTTCTCTCTTTCTCACCCCTCTTCTCTTCTCCTTCCCTTTCCTTTTCCCTCCCTTCCTTCCTTCTTCCCTTCCTTCTCTCTCTCTTTCTCCCTCTCTCTTAACATCTATCTATCTATCTATCTATCTATCTATCTATCTATCTATCTATCTATCTATCTATCTATTTATCTATCTAATCTAATTAATAGATTCTAATTCCCACCCAAGACCACAGGGTTCACTCTAACTTTCCCCTTTTCCTTAATTATAACTTATTTCACTGACTGTGAGAAATTTGACTCATTGACTACAAAATATTTATTTATTTGTCCAACTATAATATTTGCATAAAGAAGTTTCAGAATTGCTAACACAAACCCCTGGGAGGAACAAATTTACTAACTAGAGTATAGTATTTATGATCAGTTCTTTTCATCTATATCCTTACAATATCCAAGGAAAATACTATTCTTCAAGTTATAATATCCAAGGAAAATGCTATTCTGTAGGTTATGTCTTTTCTTCCCCAGCCCTTTCAGTGTAGTATTATTAATTTGTAAGATAGTTAGATTCATAGTTTAAAGTTTATATTCCATTTTGGGTCCCCCCTCATACCTTTAAAATTTTTACATGTAATAAAATTCACTGATTAGAAAAATAGCCATTTTTATTATCTACAATGACCCGTGCATTCTTGAGCTATATGTTTTTTGATACTAATTTTTTAATGGAGGTACTGGGGATTGAACCCAGAACCTCCTGCATGTTAAGCATGTGCTCTACCATTGAGCTGTTTCCCTGCCCCCCAAAATTAGCTTTTTGTGGTACATATTTCTATGAGTTTTAACAAATTCAGAGTCATGTACCCACCACCACAGTCATGATACACCAGTTGAGAGACATACAAGTTGTTTCCAGTTTTTGGCAATTATGAATAAAACTGCTTCAACATTCATGTACAGGTTTTACTGTGAATATATGTTTATTTATCTTGGGTGAATATGTAAGAGTGAGATTGCTGGGTTGACTGTTTAATTTTTATGAAACTCTGTATGTATGAGAGCTCCAGTTGGTCCACATCCTATGAAGCACTTGCTACTGTCAACTTTTTTATTTTAGCCATTTTAATAGGTGTGTAGGGGGATTTTACTGTGGTTTTTAGCTTGCATTTCCCTAATGACAAATGATGTTGAACATATTTTCATGTGCCTATTTACCCCTTTTTGGTGAAGTGTCTGCTCAAGTCTTTTGCCCATTTTTATGGATTAGTTGTTTTCTTATTACAGAGTTTTGAAATTTGTTTCACATATTCTGGATATAAGACAGATATGTGTTTTGAAATTATTTTCTCCTAGTCTTTGGCTTGTTTTCCTTTCAAAGAACACGATTTTTAAAATGAAGTCTAATTTATCAATATTTTTAAATGGACTGTGCTTTTTCATGTCATATCTAAGAAATCTTTGCTAACCCAAGACCACAAGCTTTTCCTACGTTTTCTTCCAGTTTTATATTTTTGTTTTTATATTTAGATTGATCTATTTTTTGTGTTATAACATACATAACATAAAATTCACCATTTTAACCATTTAAAGTATATAATTTGGTGCCATTAATGTATTCACAAT